AGGAGTGATATTCGAAGGCGATTCAGAGAAGGTCAGGGCGATAAAGGAGATCCCGGCTCCCGAAACAAAGGGACAGCTTCGTAGTTTCTTAGGGCTAGCCAACTATTATAGGGACTACGTGCCCGAGTACTCCAAAGTCGTTATGCCTCTGACTAACCTAACTGGCCGACGTATTCCGCAGAAATTACCTTGGAATACAGAGGCGCAGGAAGCTTTTGACAAGGTGAAAAACTGTCTAGTGCAGGCGGCGGCGTCGCAGGCACCAGACCTGGGGAAAGAATTTATCCTCGCCATAGACGCATCCGATTATGCCGTTGGTGCGTGCCTGGCACAGCAGGATCTGGTGGGCAAGGAGCGCCCTATCGCTTTTCTGAGCAAGAAGCTTAGCCCGGCTCAGACCCGATGGGCCACAATAGAAAAGGAAGCTTATGCAATCATTTGGGCACTGGGGAAGTTGGATGTTTGGCTGTTTGGCGCTAAAATCAAGGTGATTACCGATCATAACCCACTCAAATTTCTGACTCTAACCACTCCGCAGAGCGCTAGGCTGACACGCTGGGCGTTGGCACTACAGAAGTATTAATGCCGACGCAATGTCCCGGTTAGTGACTCCTAACGATGACCCAGAAAAGGGACGGCGAGTTAAGGCGGGTGTGTGCTTTGTTAGCGCGTGCGCGTGACGGAGTCAACGAGGTACAAGTGACAGTTGGTGCCTCACGTGTCGAGCCAGTGAACATGTGTGCATATGTGGTTGTGTTTGTGTCGCATGTCATAGATACAGTGCAACACAGTTGGAGGGGAGGTGTTGGGCTCGAACTTCGTGCATTCCCCGAATACCTTATGTTACCCACCCCGCGGCCGGCGACCCCTCATCAACAAGGAAGCAGGGCCACCGGAATGTGGGACGATGACTGTCTGTTGGCCACAAAAGACGCGACAACTCCCGTGCCGCTGTCTGGCTCAATTATGGCGCCTTACAGGAGACCAAGCCAGGCTGCAGGTGGCCGGTACACGTGGAAGGTACACAAACGCGTCCGCCGGACAATCAGAATCAGCGGAGGCGACGGCATTGGTGCAAGGGCCAATTGTATTGATGGCCTGTCAGCCCGGCATCGCGGGAACTTACTCAGAAGCGCTTTTCCACGACCTGGCAACGCCCGTCGTCGACCATTCCGGAAACCGGTGTGAAAGAAACCCGAGCGACGGCGGAGAACCGATGAGTGGGCAAGAGGCGGTGGGTCTTCGAGGTTGTGGCGAGGAGAGACACATCTCTGCGTTTTGATTGGACTATAAGAGTGGTGCGTTACGATTGGACTGTAAGAGTGGTTGAATGGGGAGACAGGGGATAAAACCAGGGGTGCAGGGACAGTGAAGGAGAGAAGAGAAACGAATAAACGTCTCTATATCCAGATGATGTCGGAGCGGTCGTTTCCTCAAGGTGCCAGCAGATGAAAAGTTCTCGTCGTCGGTTTCCTTGGCGGCAGCAGCAAATGTCGCGCAACAAGCGAGAGGCGAGTGGAAAGAACCAAACGGAACGTAACAACGGCCATGCACTCGCAACCAGCCGCCGAGAAATATAGACTTCAGGAACTAACGTGGCAAAAGAAAAATGGTGGCTATGACGTCATCATAACTTATTTTGTTGACCGCAGCGTGGGGACATGAGGGAAGTAGGGGCTCACCTTGAGGGTGTCTATAGCGCTATGGAGTCGGTCGCTCCCGCAAAGTTCAAAATTAATTTAAAATACCTTCCCAGCTATATTTGCTGTTGATATCTTGCAGATGATATACGAATGTTCACGAAAATTGACCCCGCAAGCTATCTCGACCCCCAAATTTTGTGTCAGTACCCGTTTAAGGCACCTTTGCCGCATCACAGTGGTGGCCTGTAGAAAAGTGTATTCTGATTTCGACTGAGCGGTTGGCACTATTCAAGGTGTCAGCGCCACTCGACTTCACACAACCAGATTCCCCGGCAGTGTCCCGGCGCCCACACAAGAAACGCTACACTATGTAAACGTGAACTCTTAGCCCTGAGGGCGTCCGCTCGGTGCGGGTGCCATGAAGCGTTACTTGAACGATCATTCAAAAAAGAACAAAAGTGAGCTCGTGAGCCGGGAACGCATAGCAATGCATCGCCAGCGAGGAGAACGAGCTGAGACACGAGTGGTATCGGACGTAGCCGATCGAGCTCCAGCACCGAATCCTGTTTCCTTCTGCATGTAACCACTGCCGATTCACTTGTAACTGTGGTACAATACAGTTTTCTTCTTAAAATTGGAACCTTGCCTTCATCATTCACCCATCGCTGACAATGGGACACAGCACAGTTTAATTACTTTCGTGCCGCCTAATTGTTACTACATATATGATCACTAACGTTTAAAAAAAAAGTTACAGTAAATCATTTGGAGCACTGTATGGGATTTCTGCAGCGCTAAAAAATGTTACAAAGCCGTGCTTCAGTTATTCTTTTTTTGTGACTCCTACTTCTTAGTTTGACTAATCTTCTGAATCATTGGGTCACCAGCTTGGCAGATGAGTTCTCAAAGTCTGTCTAAAGCTGTGACAGGTGTGACAAATGGTAATGTGGAGTGTATCATTGTTTCCTGAGTGTGGTGGTTCAAAATACTATTTTTATAGAAATTGCAGTGCTAATATTCTCTCTGCACGATTTCGGGGATGTATGATGGTTTGTACATATATATATTTTTTAATTGTAAGCCTCTTGTGTAGGAAGACCTATGTCCATCATACGGGTAGAAGCATCAACGAGTGACTCAGGGAACGCACACAATAAAGCTAACAGGCATGCCGATAAAGGTTCCCATTTTAAAACCCTTTATTATTTTTTTCAGCAATTGTGAAGCACAATTTGACGAGACGTCGATCTAATGCAGAACCCAGAATGTGCATGCGCAGTTTATAAGCTTTCCACTCAATGAAGAGAGATTGTCTTTGTATCAGCAATACTGCTTCGTCCCTGCATTCATCCTAATACCGTTTCTTTATTGAAACATATTTTTTTTTTTTCAATATGGGTACATAACATATTGCCAACTATCAATTTTACTGCAACCGTTTCTTGTCTTTGCATATCAGATACACTAATATCATTACTATTTCACTTGTTTAAAAAATTGTTGTTGTGTTCATTTGTAATAAGGCTGCCTTGGTCTGCATTGACATTCGAAGGATTAAAGAGTTTGCAGTCGTGTGTGTCGTGTCTTTTTTTATGTGGAGAATCTTGATCTTGTGTGTGTACGCTGCTAATTTTAATTCAGGAATATGTAACAACTAGGCCTAAATGAAGTTTTATTGTGGCCTATTAGGTTGGCTTTAGACAGTGCGCACTCAAGCTCCTCATTTCTTTCCAGCCAAAAGCAATGTACAGGTTTGATAATATTCAATTATCATGGAAAAACTTTGTGTCATTTTGAACGAGGCCTAGTGTCATTCACATGCTTTCACTTGCGATTGTTTGTTAGGGTAGTCCAAGTAAGGCAGAATTTCAGGGGAGACGTGAAGTGACAAAATACGTTTTCAGGAAGGGAGCCAATGTTTTAGTCATCGACGTAAGAAAACATTTGAACAGAAAAACGGAACATTGCTCTCACCTGCTAACAGACTTCTCCCCATTTTAGAAGGACTCACTCGCAGCTATTTCTGTGTTGTTGTGAGTTAGGGGTTCAAACCACTGGAATGTGAAGCCGCTCTTTTGTTCGGTCCGAAAAACCAGGTCATGATGGAAGCTTCTCACATTGATTGATTTCAAGAGTGAAGACACCATTAACCCAAGTGACAGTGGAAATCCATGAAAAGTCTCTATCATTATAGTACATCCATTGGACATCCCTAAGAAGATCAAAGTAATAAATGGTACATTTGCAGTAAATTGGTCTTGTGCTTCCATTATGTGTATTGACAGGAATGTCAGTGTGCGGATATATGAATAACTGATTTAATGAAATCAGAACAGTGCCAACGCAAAAGAAAAAGGAAAAAATTATGTTTATTTTGGCAGGAACCTTTAGGTGCTGCTGATGAGTAAAAGGCTTGGCATTTCTGTTGCATTCAGTGTCAAAGTTCAAAGCATGCCAGCCTTGCAGCATTTGTCCCCAGAATTGCCTCATCGATAGCTCGACACCAATGAAAGTATAGATAAGCTTTGTCCTGACAGCACCTGCCCATCATTTCGCATGCAGAAAGTCCTGTGTTTTCTTTGCACCAATGAGTGCCTCTGTCTTCAATTGCGACCAGGTGAAAAGATCAACACGTGTAGTTCTCATAATGTTGAGTCTGTGGCGACCACTGGGCACAAACCTGCGCAGCCCCGTCTCGTCACTGATTAGCGCGGCGTGACACGGCCACTTGCTGCAACACGCTTCCGATAAAATGCAGTGCCACCGGAATTTCGCTGAAGGCTTACGTCCCCGCTGGTGGCTGTATACCCCAAGTTACTACCAAGCTCAGTTTAAGGATTGTTTCTGTGACTGTTCGAATGCAGCATCAACATGCTCACTCGCTGTTGCTACCACGTTAATAAACAGTTATGTTTTCTTGTTGGGATCTGTCTTTCATCTGCTCGGCATCCCACAAGCCATTTTGGCATATTTGTGTAGTAACTGGTTGATTGTCCTAAGCTGGAAAGAAGTGAAATAGAAAAGTAAGCACTCGTCAACCTAGAATTTAATAGGTGTATCCTGGTTGAATCCTGTCTCAGGATTTGTGCCATTCTTTGCCAGTTTGTTCATTTTTTTATTATTTAAATGGATTGTTTGCACACATGTTGGTCATGATTGTCCTTTTTGACTGATCTTGCTATGGACATTCGGCTCGCTGTTGAGAGGACCTGGGTGTTCCAACGCTGTGTTAATTGAATGCAGCATTTTTTAGAGTCGGAGCTTATTCTCTTCTCTGTCCACGCGACTGTCTTTGCTTGCTTAGCTGCTAACCTGCTTGGGCTATTCTTTTTCTCTCTCTCTTCTGCTGCTGCGAAGCTGGTGTGCTCTGAGCTGGACACCCTTGCACGTCCATTGGGCGATGTGCCCTGCTCTAAAAACACTAACAGCCGAACTAAGAAGCGGGTGCGGGTGAGTTGTCTTTCATCTGTCTTCTTTTCTTGCTGCTGCACAATGGCTAACGCACTGCTTAGACAGTCCCATTTCTATTGTCTCTCAAAGTGCAATTGCAGTTTGAAAACACGGAAACTTGCTGGCGATGCCCTAAATTACAGGTGACCACTTTGAATCAAGCAAAGAAGTGGAAACTTAAAGGCCCATTTTTCGCTGATGACTAGAAAAATACCGCTGAATGAACACAAGAAGAAGACATTCAACTCGGGCACTAATTTCCAACGTAATGTTTTATTGCCTCTCGACTACTAATGTTCCTCAAGAATAACTACTATATAGTTTTGCACAAAACTAATTTCTTAGGGACGACAGTTCTTTTTCGTTGATGTTAAGCAACGAAATGCTCACACACACTGAAACCAGGGATGGCATAGCCTCAGCCTCGACAATCTCTTTCGTAAGCTTGTCATGCATCTTCTTAATTACAGTGCATTCATTGAAGAGCAGTACGCAGCTGCAGAATTTGCAATGAATGGCAAGCTGCCCTGCCCGTTTCTTACATTTTTATCATGTTCCTTTTATATATCATTTAGCCAATAGCTCATCTGTCTAATATATTGTTTGCAACAGGAAAGGCAGATGCGATATATTACCCCTGTTATACAAGAAAAAAAATGCAGTTTGATGTTGTTTGTCACAACCTTTGGGTTTCGCATTGCTGTAATGAAGCCGACAAAGGCTAGCCAACGTTTTGGGAGCCGAAAGTTTTTGGGCTCCTAAAAATTTATCGGCTTCTCAAAGCTTTTAGCAAACTTTTTGGGAGCCGAAAGTTGTCTACTTTTGCCGCCTTCATTAGAGCAATGCGAAACCCCAAAGGTTGTGACAAGAAGCATTAAACTGAATTTGTTGCTTGTATAATAGCCATAATATATCTCATCCTCTTTCTTGTTGCAAACAATATATTGTACAGGCGGGTCATTGCCTGAATTATAGATTAAGGGATCATGGTAACAATGCAAGAAATCGGCAAGGTGGATGACTAGCCATTCATTGTAAGTCCTGTAGCTTCGCACTGCTCTTCAATGCATGCACTGTAATGAAGAAGATGCATGACTAGCATACAAGAGAGATTGTCCAGGCTGAGGCTATCCCATCCCTGAGTTCGGTGTGCATGAGCATTCCATCACTTAAAGAGGTCGTGAAATGAAAATGAAAATTCCTGGTTTATACTTTTGCCTGCTTCAATAAGAATTAGACATACGGATTCCGAAATATTTTGGCACAATATTCAGTCTGTAATTGAATACGCCCGTTTGAAATTGCAGTTCTTTCGTGCTCGCCAGTGACCATGTCACACCATTGGCCGCTATAGGCATTAAGGGGGGATGCTACACCTTTCAAAAACTCTTTTATTTTTGCGAGTACCTCAGTCAAATTTGGAGAGCCTATGTAGATTTTACTGCTGATTTCAAAAATCTAATTCTTTTTTTGCTGTGAAAATTATTTTTAAAGATATAATGAACTGCGACTTTTCAATTAAGGCCTAATTAGCTAATTAACTGTAACTTGGATATTGATGTGCAACCTATAGAACCAATTCGGTATGTTCACAGTGTGCAATAAAGTATAAATCATTGTTCTGGGCTATTTCGAAGCAAAGTTGTGGGATGTTGAATATGACATGAAAAATTTCCCCATCTACACTTGAAACAAAAGATCCATTTAGAGAATTTTCTCCAAAAATTATTACAATAAAACTTACTTTACGACACATCCCCTGCATTTATCTTCGAAACAAAAAGAAATCGTAATGATAACCCAGATAGAACAAGAGATATTGCTCCGGCATAATGGGAAGCACATGAAAATTGTCGTTTTGAGAAATCGAGAAAAAACGTGGGCACACATTTTTATTGCAGAAGATGCAACAAGACAACCTCAAAACGCACCAGAAGCATAGTCTGAATGCATTCTGTGCTCATGCCTCCTCTTCACTAGCTTCCGGAGTTCCAATGAGGCTGTTCTTTTCTTGTTGGAGACAATGCTGCGACGGTGGTCTTTTTCTCTCGCTCTCCTGGCACCAGTACTTGTCGCATTCATGTCCATTTCACCTAAGATTGCCGTTGCAGAATTCAAATTGCCCGTGTTGAAGCGCAGCACTGCTTCTGCAACAGCTGCTTCAACAGCGAACAGGGACGCATGGTGCTCCTTGGGGGCCAAACTCCAGATTACCGAATGTAGGCTCTCGTTGGAGTTCTGCGTTTTGCCGCGTTCGCACCTCTGAAGCAGGGCTCTTTCCGAAAGCCGGGTATAAACCGGTAGTGATGCCTCTGCCACGTCTTTCGGTAGATTGTAGGCATGCCTGGGGTCGGGCTCACCCTTTGCTTTTGTGGCATTGTGCCGACATCATGAAGTTTCACCAGCTGGGCACAGACTGTGGTCCGAGCATTCATCAGTGGAGGTGACGTGGCGGTATGTGGCCATCACAGCCTTTTGCATCTCGCCCACGTCACCTTCATGCGATTTCAGAGCCCGGCCATAATATGTGCTCAGTCTGGTGATCAGCTCACCTGTGAGCCTGCCTTTCCCACCAAGGCCTCTTTTCCCATCGCACTTTTGTTTCTGCACCAGGTTTCTCAATGCGGTGCCCATCCGTTTCTGTACATGATTAATACAGTCTTCCTTCTGCACGTCAATGTAACCATACACCTTGGCGTCTTGTATGGCGCAAAATGTCCTAGAGTCTCCATCAGACAGCATAGTTGTGTAGCGCAGGCCATGGCGTTCAAGCGACCTCTGAAATAGAATTAGAGCCGCCTCCACTTCCATTTGCCCCGCTTTGCTGTTCGTATTTTTTTGGCATTTGTGGGTAGCCTTCCATTCTTGATAGCCCTCACTACTAGGCTTTGGGCCCACCTCGCAGCCTAGGCAAAAGTTGGAAAGAACGACGTAGTCCAACACGTAGCCACTAAATAATTCGATAACTGTGCCCACGCCGATGTGGGAAGAATGGCCTCGCGTCTTCCACGTGCCGTCGTAGCTAACGGCAATATTGCCCCGGTGGCCGAAGCACAAGTCATCATAAATTGTTCTAACCTTTTCCGCACATTCGCTCATAGCGGACTCAGCCCCTCGCGTTGCAGCCGGTGCCAGCGTGTTCATCAAATGCCGCTGAAACGTCTTGTGGTGCATACCGCGGTGTGAGATGCCCATTGTTGCGAAAATATCGTTCATTTTCGTTTGGCCGTTGCCGGTAGCCACCATCGCCCTCGAAGCCAGAAGATTTACTTCAAACGGATTGCACGTTTTCGTGCCGTTCGCGCGGGGCGAAGTCCATTCATTCGCGATCTCGCCGCACCTTTCACACTGCACTAGCACTTTCACGGCAAGTCTGTAGTCCCGATCCCCTCTGACGATCGTAGCCGGTCCGTGGCAGGCTTTGCAACACAAGGCACCCATTATCGCGTTTAGGATATCTAGATGCATAAGCAGATAAGGAGCAGCGTGGTCCGAGTCCTGTGCAGTTGCCTCGCTACAACTTGCGGTGAAAAAGTCAATTCTCCGTGCAGTTGCTGGCGCCGATGAAAGCCGGTCGAGCGTCGCTTTCTCCCGGGCATGATTTTCTTCAACTTCGGCGTTTGTCACCACCTTGGCGTCGATTCGTAGTCGTCCGGAGTTCGCTTCACCGTCATCGTCGTCGAAGGCAACGCGCTCGGTCGCACCATCGCTGAACGGCCGCGGAGCGTCGACACATCGTTCGTCGGAGCCAACCAAGGGCTCTGATGACTTCGTAGACTTTCTCCCACGACCTTTGCGTTTCCTGCGACCAAATGCGTGCACGGTCCGATACTTTTTTTGCGTTTCCAGGCATGGCGATACGATCAGAAGCTTCAGAGTGCTCTGCCTATTTCGAGGCGTCACAGCGGTAACCCTTTCAAAATGGCGTCGGGTCGCGTATGCAGGCGCAAGCCGCGAGCTTCCAGCCAACCGGAAAGTGCCATTTCAGTCACGTGCGCCGTTTAGCCAATGGCAGTCAGCGCGGCTCTTCGTCTTTGAGGCCCCGTTTTTCGAGCCGGGGAAACGCTCAATGTTGCTTACTGAATAAAAAAAACAGCTGAAAACGCGTTCTTTCAAACAAGACCAAAATGGCGCCGATCAAGCGCGTAGTTCCCGCGTATCGCAGAGCCGAAACCTGCGCTATTCGCCCTCAATTTAAAGGGCAGGACGCCCGTTTTTCGGTTTTTTAAAGTTGAATAACCATAAAAGTTGATGGTATTCGGCTATGAAATTTTGTAGATAGGTGCGCAATGATGTCGGGAACGCGAAAAGAAGGTCCGCGAAAACTCGATTTTTTGGCTGATTTTCGGTCCCGAAGTGCCGCGTCTCCTCTTAATAAGTGACATCAGTGAAACGTCAGAGTCAGGGAAGTTGCAAACAGAGTGTTAGCTGTATTTTGCTCAAAAGTAATAAATTTATAGGCACCTACAGCAGAAAAAATTAACCGAGCAATTTTCGCACACGAGTTATATGCCGTGCAATTACAGCAAGTGATCAGCTCGGTTTCGCTTTCAAGTACATCTGGGCTCTGTCATCTGTGTATCCTTGCCTTCCCACTGGTTGCCTTAGCTCTATCGGTGCAGCCAGCACAGCGTACCAGTTTTTTTTTACTTGTTTATTTCATTCATATACACAATACTCACAGCGCCATCAAAGGCATTACAAAAAGGGAGAAAGTACAATATAACTGGTGTATATATCAAACATAACCAGTATGAACAAACAAAATGTATGCAGAAAAATTAATAAACTGCATACAAATCCAGTGTGCAAAAAAAGGCATTAAAAAAAGCTAAGTCAACAAGACTTAAAACGTATCATGAGATATTTCAATAACTATAGCAGCAGGTAACTTATTCCACTCCCATATCATTCTTTGAAAAAGTGACGTTCTATCTACGGGAGAACATTTTATGCACTTTGCGGACGGGCGGGCTGGCGGATGTGGTTGTACCCTTTAG